ATATGAATGTATCTATTTCCTCAAACTTATATATATGTATCTTTTCTCTCTCTCAGAATCTATTTGTAGACATCTTCCCCCTAAAAAAATCCTATCTGACCACTCCATAAACTTAGTTTTCTTCTCATTAAACACTAAGCCTACTTTTTGCGCTTGATCTTCTAGTCTTTCGTTCAGCGATATCAGCTCTTTCCGATCTCTTGCTAATCAATCTCAATATATAATATCTATAATATAACTAATATCTCTAATATCTATAATATAACTAATATCTATAATATCTATAATATAACTAAATAATCTGCAAAGGTTAGGCAATGGTGTCTTTTTGTATACAGAAAACACTCTCTGTTGATTCCCACATCTTTTATAACTTTTTCTAATACTACAATAAACAGTACTGGAGATAGTGGTCCACCTGTCTTAATCCGTCCCTGATTATAGATTTTTCCGTTCTTTACTAGTTTCCATTTACTTCATTTATTGTCTCTTGGAGTGTCAATTTTATCATCTTGGTCGGTATTGCTAACCCCTAATTATGTTAAAGCTCTAAACACCTCTATCTTTCTAACTTTGTCTCGTAAGAAATAATCTACAGAATTTTATATAAAATTGAGAATTTTATCCATAATAATATTATATCATTATTCTCACCACATCATAATAATCATATATTCATATAGTACATATCGTCCTAAAAAAAATTTTGCTGCTAAAAGTCACTAACTAACATTTTTCCGAACAACCAAATTCAATCACTAACTATGTTTTGAAGCGGAGAATCGATTGCAAAAGTCATTAATTACGATTTCTGGCTATTTATGTTTTATTTTAATACCGAATAGTTACTAACTATAACATCTTTATGCAATGCAATTTATCTTTAGACGCATTTTTCTCGGAGGTGATAAAAAGTAAGTTAGTGACTTTTGGCAGCAATGGGACGATATACATAATCGAGTTACAACATTTTTCGTTTTCCGATTCCCAAATCTCCACCACATCTCCCCATCCATCCACTTTCAAACCTCTGTACAAAAATCCTTAGAACCCTCGCTCCAGCTCTTGCGTGGCCTTCCTCTTTTTCTTCTACCTTGGGGGTTCCAATTTAATATTTTCTTTGGAATTTGATGTTCTTATATTCTTTTTTCATGTCCATGTCATATTTATTGTTGAGTTCTGATGTTGCCTATGTTTAATTTTCATTTGGCGTTTTATTATTTTATTTTGTATTTTATCTTTCTTGGATTTTCCAATCGATCTTCTCCAAAAGTCCATCTCTGTGGCTTTTAGCGTTCTTTCAGATTTCTTTTTCAAGTGCCATACTTTAGGTATGTAAATATGCTTCTTATGATGGCGTTTGTAAATTCTTTTTTTTGTTTTCTATCGTTATATTCTCATCTTATTCCAGTATTCCATGTAGAAGTGAAACTGGTTTTCTGCCTTGCAGATTTCTTGCCTCATCTAATGTTCTGTCTTAAGATATTTTCATTCCCAGATATTTATACATATCGCATGACTTATCCTATAGGTAATCGTAGATCTTGTTGTCCACCAATGCACATGTATTCCTGTTTTTTTAAATTGCGTTCTAATCCCCATTTCGTCGATAAGTTTTCGGGTCATATATTCTAATTCATCTATATCTTGATCATTGATATCTTCATAATCACAGCATGATCATTTGAGTACAATAAGGTGTCCATAACCCATATTACTAAATTTCTGCTTCCGTGTTTTCAATCATAGCAATTGAAGGGTCCAGGGGAATAACTGGATAAGCGCCAATTACTTAATTTTAGGATTTTACAATATAGTAGGTCTAACTGGTCCCTACAAAATGTATAAACTGTGCAGCGCAATAAGTTGTTAAATTCTATGATATATGCCTTGTGAAAATATATAATTTACGGAAAGAACCTGATAATCACCAGCAGTCTTAGCTCTTAGTGCAAATTAGTAAAATGGTGGTTTATCATGTTTTTCTCCTAAACCCTTCAGTTATGATTATCAAAAATTCACAAAGATGGTGCCACTTCCGACGCTAATAAAAATTTGTATTAATTTGAATATGTCCTTTAAAGGACTGCTAGAAGAAATAATCACAATTTAAACAGATAAACCTAAGCAAATTAATTTACTAAAACAACTCAATATAGATAATTAACAGTTTAAATAATTTACAAAGATAATAAACGCCTGAAAAAAGTAACAATTAATTTCAAATCTCTAATTTAATCAACACAAACACTTTTTTAGTCCTAACGATTTACTTAGTCGCTTTAAAGTCAATTACGGGAATAAACAACGCATTTATTCAAATTAAACAGGTAATTGGTTGTCACATTATAAATTATACTTGTAATACTATTCATTTACGCGGTGAATCGACGTGAAACATGGCGTCTGAACATCGTACGCTTGAACGATGCTTTTGCATATCTAATTTAGGTGTAGCCGTTAAAGACACGAGTACTTACTGAGCATTACATCGGTATAATTAGGCGAGCAAGAAGTGTGTGTATGGAGATAAAGGCGTTTAATGTGGACTGATTTGTTCTTCTAAGTTAGAGGGACCTTATTTGTGATTAAGTTTTTATGTCACAAGAAGCTATACTGATAATTTGTTAATCAATGAGGTACGTTAGGAGATCTTGTATCCCAACAAAAACCTGAAATGTAAAAAGTGCCAAGTCTCGCAACGCAGTTCTTCAACTAAAAAAAGTTGTCAGATCTTCTGTAAAACCAAGTCAGTTACTTTAAGTGGATATAGAAGCATCTAATTAGGGTTAGCAGATGTCCGTATTAATCCGGACATGTCCGGATTTTTACTAGACCCTGTTGGATCCGGGCGGATTTTTTATAAGCGTCCGAATTTGAATGTTCCCTTTTTAGAAATGTCCTAACAATGCAATAATAATATATTAGTTTTAATATAATAATAGCTCCCGTATATAGCGTTTGACGCCTTGGGAGTAGCAAGGTACAGCTTGCCATAGTAGAGCCGTTCGGTATACAAGGAAGGTAATGTGGCTAGCACTACACTTCAACCGCCTATTATTACCTCAGGATTGTGAATCCCAAGTACTCATTTAAGGCTCAGTCAACCTAGGTACCCAAACTATTTTTATTTTAATAAAAATAGTCGGCTGATGAAATGCCGGGTGTGGGATTCGAACCCACCACCTTGAGGTTGGTAGGACAATATTTGGTAACAATTTGGTAACAATATTTGCTAACAATATTTGGATTAATAAAAGCAAGGTACAATTTTTTTCTTTTCAGTTAAACTTGTCATTAATAATGTCTTTTAATACAGTAGATTGTATAAAAAATAGCTACTTTTGCACGATCGTAGAAAAAAATACTTTATGATAATTCTACACTTGGTAGCTGTTTATCTTGTCTAGTAGGTAGTAATCCACTACCTTGAGATTGGTAGACAACAGCCTGTACCTCTACGCCACCGGGCACATGTAGTATGCACCAAATTTTAGTATTTAACTTTACAATATCCTGGTACCGTGAACCAACAAAACCAACATTAAGGAAGCCGGGAAATGTTTTTCCTGCTGTTGGCTCAACGATTCTAATAAATTTATGCACAGCACCGGTCGTTATTAATGTAAAATATATTGTTCGTGGCGGGTAATAACACGGCCACTTATTTTCTGTATTAATTGGAAAGGCATGTTGTGCGGAATTCCAACATGCACTCGATTTAATAAATCTGTAAAATGAGTTTTAAATCTTTAGAATTGCTAATTCGACAGGAAATCTATTGTTAGTATTTAAATCCTTAATAACTAGAAAATAATGTTTATTAAAAGTGTATCAGATTGAAAGTAGCGTATGATCCAATAAAAACAGCGTCAAAGACGGCTGGGAAATCGATAATAATTTTGGCGAGGTCAATCTCTAGACGCCAATTACTAAAAATTGACATAAAACTGGTCAAAATTAACACAAATATATATAAAGACTAGCGTGTACCAGCGACTTCATTCGCGTCGAATTAATCATTTGTAATGGTGATGATAAAGTAAAGCAGGAATTGCCATTAACATACAAATTGGATAAAATTTTCTCACATTTATGTCAGCATGAGAAAAAACAATATGGCGATATTATTATATAACTTGGTAATATTTGAGGGGTAGTTTCATCTCGTTGGAATTTGACTTTCGAAAAATCCGTTTGCCAAAAATAAGTTTTTTACGTCAAGCAGTTTAAGCAGAATCTTGGTTAGATTTTTGGTTCTCATCAACACACAACATAAATAAAGTTTATCGTTTTTCGAATAGCACTGTAATTGAAATGTCAATTATTATTGTTATTGACATGAATGGAGAAATCTCCATGGAGCCAATACCCATGACATGAATAGAGTCTCCCTCACATATTTAGATACTCTTCTTTTAGTTGAGCCCATTGTTGTCTATTGTTTGCAATTCGGGTCCAAGTTATACCTGAAAATTTTATAATATTATGGTTCCATCTCAGGTTTGGTCTTCTTCTAGATCTCATAATTCTTCGTGGGTACCATAAACTACCTTAAACTAAAGAAAGAAAGAAAAAAGAAACATCTAAAGTAATTAAAGGAATATGATAATTAAATTCGATGTAATTAGAATTATGTGTGGTTAACAAATACCTAACAAAAAAAAGTAGGTAACAGTAGTGGAAGAATAATATTTTTCTTCGTTAATACGAATTGCAAAATAAAGATTAGCGAATTGAATTTATATAAATCAAAAATTCCAGTAAATCAAACGATAGGAAGAAAGTATCGTGCAAGTATGTTTCTACATGGATAACCACACCTTTTTTAATGGTACTGTTTAATATACCCATAAATTAATTAATAAATCAACGTACATCCACCCCAACGAAGATTATATCCTACCATCACTAAATAGTTTCGTGCCAGTATAAATAGAAATTACGATAGCTGAAAAATAATATTCTGTTTAGTTCTTTACAATTATTGTTTACTCTAAGCTCTCTGTGATAATAGTAAGTGTAATAAAAAAAATATATTTTTTAAATACTAATGCATATTACTAATTTTAGAAAATGGTGCTCCGAATTTTCGTCATCGCTGCTATTTCTAGTAAGTAACATAGCAATTCAGTGTTAAATAATATAATTGTTGTCTGTATTGTCTACTGTGTGCATATTAAATAATTAACATATTAATTACAGCCTCAAATATAGCACATTATTTTAAAACTCCTTGGACTTTATTATGATTTTTTTGCTGCTCAGTATGGTCAAGAATTCATCTTAAAACAGGAAAATGCCTCATACAGCAAGAGTAGTTACTCGGTACCTTGAAGAGTCCAATATCATATTTATGGATTGACACACCCCTATAACTTTTTTATTTTTCATATAAAAAAAAAATTAAATTTGACACGGTAGTATATGACATAAATTAGGATTGATCTACGGTATTCAATTGGTTTCGGCCACTTTCTGTTTCACCGGAAATGACTACAACTTTTAATTTTTAAATGGCACCCTCGGTATATTTTCTTACTTTATTCTCAAGAAACTGAACTTCTGGAAACTGACATTCTGAATAGAATGCCATATCATATGTCAACTTTTTATATTTTTGCTTAAAATATCGTATTTTAAATTTCAATCTAGACTGGCATGGCTTTGTTAAAATCACTAATTTTTAATCAAGGAGCCTTGGAAAAATAGATTTGATCGCCTAATGTTTATTGCGTCTTGTCCTGGCAGGTTAAAGGATGCCCAAACTTTCTTAAGTTGACATATGATATGTCATTCTATTCAGAATGGCATTTTCTATCGAATAAAGTAAAAAATACCAAGGGTGTCATTTAAAAATCAAAATTTGTAGTCATTTCCGGCGAAATAGGAAGCGACGAAAACCAAATCTCGTTTTTTATTTGAAAATATAAAATAGTTATATCACTTTTGAGAAACACCCGGTATTAATAACTAACCATTTATTTAAATCCAATTATTAGTTGGTTTTACATTAATATACAGAGTCTTCCGAGATATTTATAGCCATACTTGCATGCTAACTAGCTAAGCTATTGGATAATTGGTTTTTGAATTTTAAATAATTGGGTTATAATCGATGCAAACACTTTTATACAAAAAATAAATAGAATTATTTGCATGGTTTCCAAGTTAAGCACTATGGATTTGTTGCGGTTGCATTGGTTAAACTAAAATAATTGAAAAAGGGTTAATGCGAATATAGACAAATATTTATAAGGATTCTCGACCGTATGAATGAATTACAGTGGGAATTCTTGGGAAGCGGTATGTTCTAAATCAAACTCAATTTATTCTATAGCGCTATATTGCGACAAGGTTTATATCTACCTCTGGAGCGTAAAGAATTAGAGTTATACAGGTATATACACAAAATACATAAAAAAATTGCAAAGCAAACATGCAAAATACATTTAACACGTACTGTATCCGGTATACTTACCGGGTGCGTCTCAAAAGTGGCTCACCCCTATAACTTTTTTATTTTTTGAGATAAAAAAACTAGATTCGGTATGTTAGTATATGACGTAAATTAGGATTGATTGACGTATTCAATTTTTTTTTGGTCACTTGTCACTGTTTCACCGGAAATGACTACAACTTTAGATTTTTAAATAGCACCCTCGGTATTTTTTTACTTTATTTGAGAGAAAATGTCGCTCTGAATAGAATGACATATTACATGTCAACTTTTGTCATTTTTGCTTTAAAAGGAATTCGTATTTTAAATTTCAATCTAGAGTGGCTGTGTTAAAAATACTAATTTTAATCATAGAGTCTCGGAAAAATATATTTGATCTTCTAGTGTTTTTCACGTCTTGTCCAGGCTAGTTAAAAGATGCCCAAATCGTATTTTTAATCATATCTCTTTTTTTTCAAATGGAACGAGGGTGGCTCATTGGCATATTTAAAAAAATCATTTTTTTATGAATAATTTGGTACCACACACTTGGTATTGTCCACACTATTGGAGTGAAATTGTCCAAAAAGATTTATGGTCCGACTTGATCAAAAAAGATTTATGTTACGATTTCAAATAAACTATTATGAGAAAAAAAAAATCAAAATTTTCAATTCAAAAGCTGACATATAATACGTCATTCTACTTAGGGTGTCATTTTCTATCGAATTAAGTAAAATAATACCATTTAAATATCAATAGTTGTCATTTCCGGTGAAACAGGAAGTGACCAAAAACAATTGAAATACGTCAATCAATCCTAAGTTATGTCATATACTAACATACCAAATCTCGTTTTTTTAACTGCAAAAAATATAGGAGTGAGCCACTTTTGAGACGCACCCAGTATAGTAGATAATATCGTACTCTACGATATCGGGATATGAAATCTCAGAAATTTGGAGTTTTTTAAATACTGTAACTTATATAAAGAAAGTCATGAAATATATTCGTGTTGAAAGTTTTGATATGAAAATTCCATTAATAGATTGATAATGTACGACCAGTCAATGAAAACCTCGATGAAAACAGAAAAAAAATCAGAGTTAGAATGAATTACCCCGAATTGTTATTAAAATCAGATAAAATACTAATATTTAACAAATATACCTTCCATAATATAGACTAATATAATATTTCTTATTATCCCCTTAGTTGTTTTAACATCAGCCGGCATCTCACACAATACAATTGATGTCGTAGTTTCGGAACACCAATCTCAGGGGTCTCATTATCAAGAACTATCAGGCGGCTACGGTGGAGATTATGAAAGTAATTATTTAATTATTTTTTTAAGTAAATTTTAAGTATATTTTTAATTTTATTTTATTTGTCTATACATAGCAAATTTACCCCTCTCTAAAGACTTTTTACTAATTTACTTAATAAAGTTATTTCAGTTGGATAATACATTAAAATATTTTGTTTGGCATCCCAATATTAAAAATATCTAGAAATAATTATGTATAATATGTATTTATATCAACTGAAATAAAATACAATTTTTCATATTAAGATTTTTTTCTCAAACATCTAATACTTCTATTTTTAAAACAGGCAGCTCTTACGATGGTGGAAAACAGTACGCAGGAGCTGAATTAACAAGTTTGGCACACTCCTCCGCCCAACAAGCTAAGAATGCAGTTCAAAACCAAGGCACAGCTGGAAGTCAGGCTGCTTTTGGGATAAAAAATACCCTCGCAAGTGCTGCATTAGGTGTAAGTAGTCATTTGAGACTCTTATTTATTCAATATATTAAAAAACAAATTGGTTTTAGGCCGCTCAAACTGCTCAAGCAGCTCTAGTAGGAAAACAAGCCATAGTTGCTATATTAAAAAGACAGGTGTCCGATGCCCAGACTCAACTCCAAGCAGAAGTTGCTCAAGCCGAATTAGCTCAACATGCTTTGGGTTACATCGCACAAGCTGCTCAGCAGGCTCAAGGATTGACTGCTGCTCTAGCTTCAGCTTTAGCCTCAGCTCAAAGTAAGTTTATAATAAATAAGGAAAAATGGCTGTAACTTTCGCCACTGAAACAGAAATATACAAAATAGAAAAGTTATGCTGAATTCAAATGGATAGCAGCTGCTCAGTGTTTTTTTAATAGTAAAATAAATTTGCATAACCGAAAAAAATACGCTTACGTCTTTAAATGTGTAATACTACTCCAAATAATATTTAAATAAATTACATTCACTTATACATATTTTGACTATTCTAACTCTAGGTGGCGAACAAACTTCTCTGAAAGCTGCTACTGACGCAGGCACTGTAGCTGCTTCGCAACAACAAATGGTGAACGAAGCTAAACAAAGGTTGGGTGTTTTGTTGCATCAGCTTGAAGCTGCACTTCTGGAGTTACACGAAACTGAAGTATCCGCTTATAAAGCAGCTGAAGCTGCTCAACTTGCCCAATCAAATGCTGCAGCAGCAGGAGCTGCCGTTGTTGCTAGCTCGGCTAAAGTACAAGCAGATGGATCAGGCGGTTATCATCATCATCATCATTAGCAATGCATCGGAGTGAAAATTTGTACAGACACAATAAGTTCCTTATATGTTTTTATATTTGTAAATAAACCAGATTTTGTTGAAACAAAATTGTTTTACTTCATAAGTAGATTATTAAATACCTTTTTCTCCTCATTGTTGATACTCGAGCGTGATCACGCCATAAGGAAATTGGTTGTATACTTCATCTGTCTTTATACCACCTTCATCTGTCTTTATATTGCGCCAAAATGCTAGTGTCGTATGTTTCTTTATTATGGTTTCCATTTGATCTAATCATTGCTATGGAGATCTTACGCAAGGTCGTCTTCCATGAAACTTTCCTTAAAAAAATGTTTTGACGTCTTCCGGATACCCAGTCGCCATTGTTCCCTATCTACCCACAGGTCGTCTTCGAGCTCTCGCTTAGCTTCTTGTCTATTCCTTCTCTCGAGTTCTTGCGTAGGTAGTCTTCCACTTTTTCGTTGTCCCGCTGGTGTCCAGTTGAGGATCTGTTTTGGAAGACTCTCCCTTGACATTCTTTGTACGTGGCCATGCCATATTAGTTGTTTCGTTCTTATGTCATCAGCTATTGTTCGATTGAGACCCATAATTTCTCGAATTCTATTGTTTTGCATCTTTCTCTTCCGGATTTACCTACGACCCATCTCCAGAAATCCATTTCTATCACTTCCATGGTGCTCGCAGCCTTATCTTTTAGCTGCCATAGCAAACAATGCTTTTTTAACAATTGTATTATTTATTTGACGTTTTGATTTAGATATGTTACTATCCCACAAGACGCTGTTTAACATAGAGAATGCCTTCTTCCATGAGCGTTTCTATCCCTTATCCAGGGTGTGATCATTTGAAATTTTGGCTTCCAAGCATTTTTAATTTATGCAAACCGTTAATACTTTGATCGTTTTCAAGGGAGAAGTTTTCTTGGACTCTTATAATAGTAAAATGTTTATTTATCTAAAAAGAGAGCAGGTGTCATCTCAAATATGGTAGAAGTAAGCCACTTGGACTATCTTTACCTCGTGTACAGTTCCAAATTTGAGCCTTATCCATGCGATCTCAAAGTAGAATAAGAGATTGCATCGATCTCAAAGTAGTAATATGATCTCTGGTTAAAACTGTGGGTTAATTTAATGCTGATCAAAATGCCACATAAAAGTTTAAAAATTGCGAATACTTTAGAATATTTTGAAAAAAAAGATTATTCGCTATTTCTATTTGAATAGATATAGCAAAATAAATGTCATATACTCCTTGCTATTTTTTTATTCAAGAATGTGTTATTCAAAATGGATATTTCGCTTTGAAGTGCCATCATGAACATTCTTTTTTTAAAGACGACACTGGTTATTTTATTGAAGATTTTAAGAGTTTCTAATGTTCCAAAACCATTGATAACATTTATTTTGAAAAATTCATATTAATAGCATTTTCCATCAGAACTCATGAGTTGTTTTTTCCTGAGTTATAAATCACGCGATAGAAAGTTAGAGAGACAGAGAGAAGGAGAAATATAGAGAAATTTTTATAAGAAATTACCAGGAAATCGGTAATATATTTTCGGTATCATACGTCATTGAGGGCATCATACGTCGTTTTGGGGCATTATAAGCTCTAAAAATTCGTAGTAAAAAACCAGAGCCATATTAATTGATGACAGCAGTTCTAAGGCAAAATATCGGTTTGAAAATTTTATAACACCATTTTGTTGAACAAAAAGAGACGAAGAAAAAGTCAATCATATTTTGTTATATTTATTCAAATAGACATAAAAAATAAAAATTAAATAGCGAATATTCGGTTGTTTGCAAAAATCTTCGGCAGGTAAACGGAATGTTTAAACTTTTAAAATAACATTTTGTTCAGCATTAAAATACGCATCTTTGCCTCCAATTAACCTACCTTTTATCTTTTATAGTTTCCCAGATCTCAATGATGAGGCTCGAATTTGTGAAACTTTGTACAAGTAAAAATCTGATGACTACATCACAAGTTCGTGTGAGTGGAGTCCTACACGCTCTACATTGCGTATGGTACTGAAGGATCTGCAATTACTCCATACCACTAAGTTTGGGAAAGCAGTAGCTATAATTTTTGGTAATGTGTTAATGTTTATCAATTTTGATTCAATATTAAAACACAGCAATAGATAAGCATAAAATAAACTAAAGAAGAATTTTTAATGTTTTTAAACTTAATAATTTTATTTATTTAACTCTTTTTATTTATTTAAGACTTCGTTTAAATTATTGCATCTAACTTTACATTCATACGTGCAACTACAATTATTAGTTTACCTCATTACCGACTTTTTCTCTTCCTCTAAATCTAATTTAGGTAAAATTTTCGAATAATACCCTACACAAAACCGATTTTTAAAAGTCTAAAACCTAATTTCGGGATACGTCACGGCAAAGCAGACAAGTTCAGCTTGATTTGTATTCAAGCACAAGTTTTCCATTAGGCTGACGATGTCGGGTTAATGAGATAATTTACAGACATCAAATCTATTTCGGAAGTTTAGACGACGCGATACGACGCTGCCGCCGACGAAAACAAAGAACGACGCCTGCAAATTTCATAAACAAATTCACTTCCAATAGGTAGTCAAATAAACAAATATATTGTTTTATAAACTAGCGAAGTAAAAAATGCGCTTAGTTATGATTAAAATAACTTATCTCACATTAATTATTAGTAAATCTTAAAACGGGTAAAACAAAATATAAATCGTAATTAAAACCAAAAATTAGTTTATAATTGGTAAAAAATATTTATTATATATGTTACAGTAAAAGTTGGAAATCAGTGATTCTTAACAATTACTAGTAAAAGCTCAACAGTCACTGATTTGCTAAGACTACGCCAGTAAAAGTTCAACAACTATTCTTGAAACCAACTTTTACTAGTGAATGCTAGCATTCCCTGGACGATAGCAGTGAGTTTGAAAGATTCAATTAGCGCGATCGCCAGATGTTGTAAAATATAAGGATAAATAAGGATAAGTTGAATAACAGGCAATATAAGGATAACATTAAATTGAGCTAAACTTTGGCAACGTTAACAAACATCTGCGTAAATTCGCTTTGTTTTTTGTGGTTATGTATAATTGTTTTGTACTCGTTGTAAAAAGTGCTGTGCGGTATTTTCCCTATGGAAGAGATTTTCTGTGAAAAATTAAGCCAAACTAAGCACTCGCAAGAATGTAATAGTGCTTGTTTTTCATTCTTTGCAATATAATGAAATCATAGCAAAAGTTAAGTATGCAAGAGAAAAATATATTAAAGAATCTACTGACTATGAACTTATTAAACGTTTTGATATGCTTAAAATAGCGGGTTTGAAATTCCCGGTTGAAGAAACTTCGGGTATACTTTACTTTGTCCACGGTGTCCACTTCACTTTGTCCAATGTTTTTTTAATTGTTTGTACACTTCAAAACAATGTTTGATCTATGTTTTGTATTTTAATATTTTTAGAAGGTTATGTCGTTATTTTCTATAATTTTTAATAAATATACTAAAATTTAAATTGTCATTTTAAGATATGTGAATCAGCTTAAATATTGTGATGATCCAATATTTTTAAAAAGTTTTATTTGTTTTAACTTCCTAAAAAGTTATTCCCTCCAGCACACTCGCCCTGTACAGTAGAATAACTTTTACTGGCAACCTTTAGTAAATGTTACTTTTACTAGTGAATGTTAGAAATTACTAGAAAAAGTCGACAAATTTCTTTAAAATACCACATTCACTTGTCAAATGCGTAATTGCTAGCATTTCCTAGTGAATGTTAACAATCACTGAATTTCCGTCTTTCACTGTAACATATATAATTAATTAATTTAAATTTATTAGACTTAAGTAAATTTTCGATAATAACTTGATAATGTCGCGTCCCAAATCTTTGTGGTATTTGTTAATCTTCTTAGAGTATCCAGGGTTGGACTTCGACACGTCGAAAATACGTCTACTATGAAGTAAATGCCGAATGCCGACAATGTTGATAATGTCACAGGCGCAGGTTTGAGGTTAGGAAGAAGAATTTGGCTATTTAGCAACGTATTTCGAGTTTCAGGTAGCTTTTAATTCTTTATTTTCGTTAAATCTTGGAGTAGTACCCAATTTCTTTTTCAAAAAGGCAAAAAATTTAGATAATTACCGATTTATTGTTTGATGTTGGTTAGGAAGCTATTGAGATTAAGACTAGTTCTAAATTGGGACAATTTCACATTCCACAAGGATACGAGAGACAGTCAGGGGACTCTGACTTGTCTCAGAAAATAAAAACGAAGAGAGGCTTGTAATAAATATTAATGTGAACATTTACAGTGGCCTGTAACATTTACAGTGAGGTTATTAATTTTTTATTTTAAGGTGGTTGCTTTTGATCTGTCTTAATTTGCAGTAGTGTAACTTTCAAAGAAAATACTTGTGATTTTCCAGAGTGTATTAAGGGAATCCAAGTTGAATTAAAGAATTTACCAGATGCTCGTTAAATCGGTGAGAACATTTATGAGAGTATACGTCGAGTATACGTCATTCCATTCTCCAACAAAGTCCTCCTACACTGGGTGCCTGCTCACCAAGGGATAGAAGGCAATGAAAAAGCAAATAATCTAGCTAGGAAAGGAGCGAACACTCCACTAACTGGACCAGAACCGTTCTGCTTTCCAAGTGGTAACCAACTCAAGGCGGAACTCAAGAACTTGGAAGATTCCATCCGCAACCTGGAATGGAAATCTTGCAATGGTCTAAGGCACTCGAAGAAGTTTCTGAGGGCTTATGATCAAGAAAAATCACAGATCTTCCTGGGTCTGAGTAAGAACAATCTTCGGATTGTCACGGGGTTTTAACAGGACACTGTCTCCCTCAATGAACACCTCAGTAGATTGAAACTAAGAAGAAACGGCGAATGCAGATTCTGTGGGGAAGATGGTGAAACACCAGTACACCTCATCACTGAGTGCGCCGAGACGACAACCATTCGTGCCATGAATT